GCACCGAGAAAGCCACGTGCAAACCAAAGTCCCCACGTTCCCTGCCCGACCCTCCCGGACCCCACAGACCCAGTCCCGCCCCTGCCACGTGGCCAGCCCTGAGCCGGCCCTTCTTGCCGGGGCTGGCCCCACGCCCAGGCCCCAGCCCGCCCTCTGCCCGCCCCTGGCCAGCTTCCCGGCACAGGGAGGCGTCTGCAGGCCACACTCTGACTGGGCGGGAGGCCAGGGCGGAGCCGGGGAAGGGGCCAGGGGACACTCTGCCCATGGCCCGAGGGGGACGCAGCCTCGCTGCGCCCGATGAGGAAGTGGCGCGGCAGCACCTGGGCCCGGCGCCTGAGCGGAGCACCTGGCACAGCTGCTGGGGAGGAGGGGGGGAGGCGGGGGGTGCCCGGCTCCGAGTGAGAAATGACTGCTGCCCATTCAGAGGGGGTACTGAGCCAGGACACAGCCTGGTGCCCGTGGTCCGGGGGTGTCCAGAGCACCTCGAAGGGAGGGCTGGGTTGACACTGAGGTTCCATTTCCCTTGTGAGCCTTTAAAATAACAATGACCGCCGAAACCGGTGTGGCCCAGTGGATAGAGCGTCGGCCTGCGGACTGAAAGGTCCCGGGTTCGATTCCGGTCAAGGCCGTGTACCTTGGTTGCGGGCACATCCCCGGGGGGGGGGGAGTGTGCAAGAGGCAGCTGTGGGTGATTCTCTCTCATCGCTGTTTCTAGCTCTCTATCCCTCTCCCTTACTCTCTGTAAAAAAATCAATAAAATATATTTTAAAAAATAAATAAAAATAACGATGACCAGGACCCCCACCCCATGGAGTCGGCTGTCTACCACCGGGTCCTGGGGGTCTCCGGGAGGCAGGCGGCACCTCGTTCCCCGGATGCCCGCACAGAGGGCAGGCGGAACCGATTCGGGGCTCGGCCACCGGGGCTCAGGCGTCCCCAGGAACGGGGTACCCCTAGCAGGTGTGGGCAGCTCCGTGGGGGCTCCCGGGCTCCCACCTCACCCCATGATTTGCCTCAACTGTTACTTGAGTGAAACGTGGAGGTGGAAGTGGTCGCTTCCCATGGCGGAGCCCGTGGGGGCCGGGCCCGGGCCCATGCTTCACGCCCATGCACAGCGCCCACAGCTGGGCACCACCTCTGTCCACGGGGAGACAGATGGAGCCTCGAGGGTCTCCTGGCCACGGAGTGCGGGTTGGGCGCGGCACCTCATTGAGGTACCGGAGGGAGCGATGGAGAAGCCATGGCCAGCAGCATAAGACCCCACACACACCTCCCGCCCCAGCGCGGCAGCGAGCCGCCAGGCCCCGCGGGCGGCCGGGCAGTGGCTGTCTTAGGGGTGCGGAGATTGCCTAGAAACCCCGGGGCTTCCACGCTCCCCCATAAAGCTGCGGCACAGCTGGCCACACACTCAGATGGCCCATTTGGTCCAGCGGGCCAGTCCCCACCCAGCCTCTTTCCCTGACCCCTGACCAGGACCCCCAGCCACTGGGGCGGTGGGAGGAGCAGGGACAGCGTCCTCTCTCCGGCTCCGGGGGCAGGCGCGCCCCCAAACAGGACCCTAGTGAAGCCTGGGCAACCAGTGCACTGACGGAGGGGGAGGCTGAGCCTTTGCAGAGAACACCTCCCCCTGGTGGCCACATGGGAGTACAACACCTGGGAGAGCTGAGCCCAGGAGGCACCCTAAGCCTGGGAATCCCGGAGGGGAACGGGGTTGGGGGGATGGGCACTGGGACTGGCCGCGTGGCCCAGTCCGCTCACCCCCTCCTCCGCAGGGAGCTCCCACCACCTCCCAGAGGCACCTGCTCTCCGTGCTGGACGCCAGTGGGTCTTTAGTTCCTTTTTTTAATGTGTTGATTTGAAAGGGGGAGAGGGGAGGGAGGGGGAAACACCCACTGGTTGTCCACCGACCCACACGTCCACGGGGGTTCTCCTGTGCGCCCTGACCAGGGGGGACCCACAGCCTCGGTGTCTCCGGAGGCTCTGCCCACCGCGCCGCCGGGCCAGGGCTTATTTCCTTTCTCCTCCAAGTCCGGGTGACTGTGTCCCGGGTGCGGGAACGCTGAGGAAGCACAAGGAGCCCTGGCTGGGGACTTCCATCCAGGGGCGTCGCTCCAGCTCGGGACCAGGCCTCCGTGGCCCCGCCGCTGTCGCCACTTAGGCCGTGATGCCTGGTGCCCGGGCGGCCAGCCTCCCTGACTGGGAACACCCGGCTGCCTCTGCCTCCCATGTCCCGGGTCACCCGGGCGGGCACACCCTCGTCCCGGCCGACTCCGCCAGTCCACACCCGGGCCCTCAGGCAGGAGGGCGCCCGCCATCGTGGGGTCTGAACCCACAGCAGATGCTCTGATGCCCGGCCCCCCATCCTCCCTCCTCCCCAGTGGCCACCTGTGGACGCAGCAGCTTCCCCTGGTCACCCGGCTCTCTGCTCCCGCCGGCTCTCAGCTCCGGGAGCCGGTGTGGGAACAAACAGACCTGTGGGGGCCCAGGCTGAGAAATTCCCGGGGAGGAATTTCTGTGTCACCCCAAATATCCGAACCCGCCTCCTTCCTTCGTAACCAGGTCCAGGCTCAGCTGATCCTCACGAGCCCGTGAGCCGGGGCCTGTGGCCGCCCCCCCCCCGCAGCCTTGCCCGGTCTCCGCAGTAACAGGCCCGCCCCCAGGGCCCGTGGCCCACTCAGTGCCCACGTGTCCATCCCTTGCAGCCAGCAGCGCCAGTGCCCAGGCTCCGGGTGAGGGGGAAGAGGCACGCTGTGCCCGTGGCCTCAGTGGCAGGAGCGCCAGCAGCCACGTGGGCCACGAGGGGAGTGAGGGCAGTGCATGTGGAGAGGGAGACAGGGTGGGGGGCTCCACAGCCTCCAGCTGCTCCCCTGGAGGGAGAGAGACGCCTCCACCTGCTGCTCCCCGTCCTGGCCCAGCCCGCCCTCAGGGGAGCACTGTCTCCAGCACAGGGGAGGCGCACACGGGCAGGGCCAGGGTTCGAGTCCACCCACAGGGAAGACAGCGGGCGCTGTTCCGGCTGGAGGAGGTGCCGGGGGTGGCCCTGGCATGTGCCTGGCATGTTCCGGGCTTAAGTGTCCTGGGGGGCCGGACCCAGGGAGCCGGCGGCGGCCACACCCTCCCACAGGAGAGCCACTGCGGGTTTATTGCCGGGAAAACCGTGGTCTGAAAACCTCCAGGCTAGTGGACAGCCTGTGTCCCACTGGGGTCGCCTCCAGCTGCGGGACCCCGAGTTCTGACCCATGTGCATGGGGCCCCAAGTTCACAGCCGATCCCAGGACCCGGCTGCAGTCCCTCAGAGGGCCCCGCCTCCTGCCGGATGGAGCAGGAACGTCCCAGCCCTGCAGCCTTCGCCCTGGCTCTCCTCCCCGCCTGCCCTTCTCCCCACCTGCCCCTCCTCCCACCTGCCCCTCCTGCCCGCCTGCCCCTCCTCTCACCTGCCCCTTCTGCCCACCTGCCCCTCCTCCCACCTGCCCCTCCTGCCCACCTGCCCCTCCTGCCCGCCTGGCCCTCCTCCCACCTGCCCCTCCTGCCCACCTGCCCCTCCTCCCCACCTGCCCGAGCGAGCAGAGCTAAACCAGCCCTAGGGTCGCCCTGTGAGAACAGACAGAGCAGCTGCGGGCCCAGACCCGCCCCGTCCCGATGGCCGCATACACACGCTCGCTCTCAGAAAACCTCCTCCTTATAGTCAGACACACGGAGCCCTGGACGAAATAATTACAAACTTCTTTTTCCCTCAAAAAGCAAACAAGCCGAACAGAAACAAACCAACCCTCCGACAGCAGTAGACAGAAAGGGCGTCCCTCCCTCCAGCCGGGCGTGGCCCGGGGTCGCACAAAGTGCTGGGTGCGCCCCAGTGACGGATTCTTCCCCCGGCTCCCCGCCGGGCCGCGACCCTCACCCCCTCCTCCAGCCCGTGGCTGCTTCTCTTCTCCCCCTGCTCACCCTCCGCCTCCTCGCCATCCGGCGGCAGGAGCCCAGCCTGCAGGCCGCCAGGCCGACCTCCGAGCCCCGTGCAGCGTGGGGGATGCGGCCGGTGCAGCCCAGACAGAGGAGGGGCCTGGCACAGAGCTCGGGGGGCGTGTCCTGGGGTCTCATGCAACATCCAGGCAGAGAAGGGTCCGGCCCAACAGCCAGAGGCCCAGGCCAGGGAGGCAGGGGGGGCGCCCCAGGGCGAAGCACTTCCTTCTGGGCCCGTTCACAAGCTCTGGGCGCCCCCGGGGGAAGACCCGTCAGGGCGAGAGCCCACGTCCTGAGCCAAGGCCGGGGCCCCGCAGGGACCGCCTCGCAGGACCCAGGGGACCCAGAGGGCACCCCGAGGGGAGTGTGCGCCCCCTTCTGGACAGGAATGTGAGCAGCAGGGACGGCGAGGGACCCGTGTTCTTCCCGCCGCATTGGGTTCCAGTCTCTGGCAGCAGGCAGGACAGACAGCCTCGGGTACGGGTTCGGGTTCGGGCAAGGACAGTACCATCGACCAGGGGGCGGGGCAGCCCCCTCGCTCCCAGGGCACCTTCCTGAGAGAGGTGCCCGGGCAGAGGGCTCGGGAGGTCAGGGGTGGCCGGGCCCTTCAGTGCCCTCTCCTACGCGTCGCCCCGGGAGCAGCACGAAGCAGGAGGGCTGAGTCCAGGCTGAGCAACATGGGAGGCCACTCCCGCCCGGGCCGGCACCCCGCTCCCGCCCGGGCTTCTGAGCGCCGCCCGCAGGACGGGACGGGACAGGACGGGCCGGGACAGGACGGACTAGATGACTCCGCAGGCGCTGGCCCACCCGGCGCGGCGCCCCCTCCCGGCCTCCGGCGGCAGACACGCCGACCGCCGGCTTCCTCTATGTACAAGCGGCGAGCCCAGCACAGGCCGCCGGGCAGACTGCTGGGCAGACAGGCAGGCTCGGCACCCTCCCCGTCCCCGCGGCCGTGGGAGACGGAAGGTCAGCAGGCATTTCCCCGTCCGGGTCCAGGACTGGACACGGTGCCCAGACAGTCCCTGAGTCCCGCCTGCGGCCGCTCACTGGACACCCTCCTCTTCCACGTAGGTCGAAGGAAACCAGCCGACCTGAAAAGACAGACGGCAGGTCACTGACGGTGTGCGTGCGCGTGCGTGTGCGTGTGCGTGTGTGTGCGTGTGCACGTGTGTGAACAGGCTGTGGAGGTGGGAGACCCTTCAAACGCCGACGCCAGCCTGGAGAAGGGCTGAGCCTGGCGGAGCCCGGCCCGGGGAGGTGGGGCCTGAGAGCTCGCTGAGCCCACCCTCCAGCCCCAAGGAAAGGAGCAGGGCCTCCGGGGGGAGGACGTTAGCCAGGCCTCTGCTGCGACTTCAGAGGAGGGAGGGCGGAGGGAGAGAAACAGTGATTTGATTGGCTGCCTCCTGCACGCCCCGCCCTAGACCCCAAGCCGGAAACCCAGGCCTGTGCCCGACCAGGAATCCTGAGCCACACTGGCCGGTGTTAAAAAAGGGAGTGGAATGAAGACACGTCCCCATCCAGCGAAAACTAAGGACTTCCGGATGGACACGCCGGGAGCGCAGACCAGGAGGACGCGCCAGTGGTGGGAACTGGTCTCGGGCGGAAGCCGGGAGGAGCCGGGGGGGGGGGGGGGGGGGGGGAGTGAACCTAAATGAGCACGGGCTGCCTAACACAGGCCACGCCCTGTGGGGCTGGAACATGCAGGATGAGATAAAGGCCCTGCCCGCCTGGCTGAGAGGCTGAGTGCAGACCCAGGAACCAGGAGGTCAGGGTTCGATTCCCGGTCGGGGCACAGGCCTGGGTTGCAGGCTCCATCCCCAGTGCGGGGCGGGCAGGAGGCAGCTGATCCATGATTCTCTCTGACCACTGATTGGTGTTCTCTCTCTCTCCCTCTCCCTTCCTCTCTGAAATCTATAAAAATGTATTTAAAATAAAAAAATTTAAAGATACAAGCCCACACCTTCCCCGAAGCTCAGGGGGGAGCGGGCAGTCCGGGGAGGGGAGGGGGGGCCTCGCCGGCGGGGGGCGGGGGGGCAGCCACTCACCCGGCCGTTGGTCTCGCCCCGCCACCAGCCCTGGTCGCCGCCGATGCGACTGTAGATCTTCACCACGTCGCCCTCCCGCAGCGAGAGCTCCCGCATGTCCCGGGCTGCGAAGTTGTACCGGGCCACGGCCGTGCCGATGACGCGGGGCGTGAACACTGCGGGGGGAGGGGCGGGTCACCGGCTGCGGGGCAGGGCCCGGCGGGGGGGGGGGGGGGCCCTCAGGCCGAGCGGCCGGCCCGTCCCCGGGGGAGGCCGGGTGGCATAAAGGCTCTGGAGGGACAGCCCAGGCCCCAGGCCGGGCCCCTCGATCCTCGGTGGCCTGAGACCCCCGTGGAGGGCGCCAGAGCCGCCCCACCCGCCCCGGAGCCCTCACAGGCGAAGACCGGGCGCCCACAGGGACGAGAACAGACGCCGTGCTCTGACGTCACAGCACCGCGGTCCGGGCGCCACAGGCCAGGGCACAGCGCGTGGCCGCCGCCCAGCTCCCAGCCCTCACTCTGACGGGCAGCCTGAGGGACCCCAGGGCTCCCCTTCCAGGTCCCCAAACTGGAACCCCGACTGGACCAGCTCCCCCAGGACCCAGGAGCCCCGATGGACGGGCGACGGTGACGGCGACAGAGGGAAGCAGGCACGGCAGCTGGGAGGCTCTGGCTCTGGCAGCGGAGGGAAGGCCGTGTGGCCGGCCACCGAGGTCCCGCCCCCTGGCCCGCAAGTCCCGCCACCCCTCGGACAGCGCTGAGGGGGCCGCCTGGCCGTCTGCCGCTGCCAGAGGCACAGCCCCCCGTGAGCAGCGCGGGCAATGGCGGAGCGGCTGCGGAGTGGCCATCGGGGAGCGTGTCAGGGGTGACAGCAGCGAGGGCAGCGCCAAGCCGGCCGGGGTCTCAGGTGCAGCAGCCCCGCCTGCCCCCCCCCTCAGCTGGACGCCTGCAGGCAGCCCGCCAGGCCCCCCGCCCGCGGCAGCGGTACCTGACCAGAAGGGAGCGGAGGAGCCCTGAGAAGCCAGGCTGAGGCCCTGGGGACTGAGGAAAGAGAAGCTGTAGGAGGCGCAGGAAGCTGCAAAGAGCGAGAGAGCGCGTGAAAGGCCAGGAGCGCCCGCGGGCCCAGCACATACGCCCAGGCCGTCCTAGGAGCTGGGCGATGGGAGGCGGCCCCAAGGCCCACCAGGCACAGCGCAGTGGCCACCGCGGGCACCCTGCCTCCAGCTCAGCCTCTGCACCCGCCCCGGAGAGCAGACCGGAGGGCGGCAGGCACGGGAGTGGCGTGCGGGAGCCTGCCCCTCACCCAGCACACAGCAGGTGCTCACGAGGGCCCGCCATGCCCTCCTGGCCTGCTCTGCCCGGTGGACCCACGCCCTGCAGGTCCTGCCGCTGGGGAAGCGGGTGGCTCAGGGTGAGTGCTGGGCTGGATGCGGAATGCTGAGGCCCAGCTTGCCCCCGCTCCAGGGCCCCCGCCCCCCAAGCCCCCGGGCTGGGCAGCAAGGCCCGGTCTGCACAGGGGTGCTGGCCTGGCTCCCGCACAGCGGAGCCACGGGGCGGGGGGCACAGGGAGGGATCTGAGGCAGGCGGGACCCACTCTGATCTCTCCCCGCGCTGACCTCGGGCAGAGGGACCCAGGCTCAGAGCGGCATTCCTCCCCGGACACCCGAGACCACCGGGGGGCGCCGGTCTGGAAGGTGCTTCTCCGGGCGGGGGTGCCAGGCACTGCCCCGGGCAGAGGTCAGCGTGGCCCCCAGAGAGCCTTGCGCGAGGGCGGGTGGGCAGGGGGCCGGGCCGCAGGGAGCACCGGTGTGCCTGGGGCGGGCACTACCTGGGGACCGGCTGGAGGGCCTGGAGGCGGCCCGCTCCCGGGACTTGTAGGGGTACTTGAGCGTGGTGTCCAGCTGCTTGAAGCTCTCCTTGAGAGAGTGGCTCTGGTAGTACTCCACCAGCTCCTGCAGGACACACACCGCTGACTGCCGCCGCCTCCAGGCAGGTCTCCCGGGTGCCCTCTCCCACCTCCTCAGGTTCACACAGGCAATTCCTCTCCTGGACCCTCGAGGGCCCCCTCCTCCTCCTCTTCCCCCTGCGCCAGGCCCAGGCGGGTGGCCAGCGCCCCAAAGACCTCTGAGCCAGTCACCTCTCCCCCCACCGTTTCCAAAGGAGGAGCCTGAGGAATGCTGAGGCCAGGGGGCAGGGGCACCCCCTGCAACTCCCACACGGATAAAAGCGGGGACCCCGCGTGCCCCACACCGGGGAGATGCTTCCGGAAATAACAGCTTGTCCAAGTGGCCGAGGCCCCACGGGCACCAGCCAGGGAAACGGGGGGAGGGGGGGGGGCGGGCTGGCCCGTTTTCCACTGTGCCTGTCGGGGAGCAGGCCGGGCTTGGGCATATGAACCTCAGCGAGGCTTCTTGGGTGGGTGGTGGTTTGGGGGCGCAGTGGGGGGATTTCTGTTTTACGTGGCGTTTCTGTGGCCACCGTGGGCCTAAGGGCTCAGGTGGTCTCTGTGCGTGGACTGTGTGTGAGGAGGAGAACGAGGGGTCCAGTCTTAAAGGAGCTCATCGGGGAGTGGGGAGGAGGGGGAGGGGCCCGCGGGGGAGGGCCCGCGGGGGAGGGGTGCTGTGGGGAGCAGCCGCGGGCGAGGCTGGCTCACTCCAGGCCTCACTGGCCATGGCTTCGGCTCCGATAGGAGGATGGCTGGGCCCTCCCGGTCCCTGGCCCTTTTGGGGGCCTGGGGGCCGATCCCGACTGGGGGTCCTAGCTGTCCCGAGGCACGAGGTGCGGGGCCTCTCCTCCGTGGAGCGGCAGCCATGGGGGCCAGCCCCCCCGACCCCGGGGCCCGGGCAGCAGGAGCCGCAGAGCGCCTACCAGGAGGCTTTCGAACTTCTTGGCTTCCGTGATGTGGATCCAGCTGTCCTTCTCCACCACCTTGATGTGCTTCACCTCGTCGTTGAACCTGGGCAAGTCCAGGGTGAGCGGTCACCGACGGCCCCGGGCCCGGCCCCTACCCCCCCCCTCCCGGGAGGAGGGCCGCTCAGGAGCCAAGACACACCTGGGCCTCGGCTCACACCGGCTCTCTACCCTGCCTCTCGGTCCTCCCGCCCCACCGGCTCCGGGCCTGCCTCCCACGGCTTGTCTGTCCGTCTGTCTGCCCACCTCTCCAGCTCCCAGCTCCCGGCCCCGCCGGCTCGGCCTCCCAGCCACTTCCTGCCTCGGGGTTCTGCTCACCCTGCTCTCCGCCCTGGGGACCCCCCGCCTCCGTCTCCCCAGAGCCCGAGGCCTCCGCCGCCTCGCCCCGGCTCTGACACCTCCTCCCACCGTCCTCCAACTGCACACCCTCCGCTTCGCCGGCTCTGCCCGGCTCTTCCTCGGTCTCGCCAAGCTCGTGCCCGCCATGCCCTGGCCCTGGCCACCCCTCTGCCACCCTCTCCACGCCCTCGGTGTCCTCAGGTCTTGCATCCGATGTGGCCTCCTCCTCCCTCCTCCCCCTCCCCGCCAGGTGGCCCCACACCCCTAGCAGCCGACACCACCAGACACAGACCCACAGGAAGTAAATGTCACACCAACACCCTTACGACTGCAGGCGCTAACCCTTCAGCGCCGCGTCTCCCACACAAGCCACACGCACGTGGACTTCACACCACGGCCAGTGGGCCATCCAGGAAGGCCCGGGCGGGGGACACAGGACCCCTGCGTGGGGCTCTCAGCCCCCACCCGCAGACCGCAGGCCTCTCATCCCTGCCGCCTCCTCCCTCTTAGCCTGGCCCAGGACTCCTGCCCCGGGGTGGACCCTGCCAATGGTGACCAACCACCAATCAGATCCTGTCTCTGGGAGAGGTGACAGCAGACCCGGGGCAGGAGGCTGCTCTGGGCAGAAGGGCACCCCGACTGCAGACCACTGGCGGGGGCTGCAAGATGGCAGCCGTGTAACCCCTGTGCTCTCCGAGGCCACCTGTGGGGCCGCTGGGAGCCCCTGCCTGCTCTGTGGCCGAGCTGGGTACCCCGCCTCTCCAGCACCCCCGCCTGCTCTGCACCGATCTTGTCCCATCTCTTGAACCTGGAAACGCCGGCCAAGCTCCAGGGGCGTGGTGGGCCGACGGCAGCCGGCATGCTACCCTGACCGTGTCCAGGTTTGGGCACCGCACCCCGCGGCCACCCAGCCCGACGCCGACCTGCAGGGACGTGGGCTGAGGTCCCGCCCGGCGCCGGGACACGTACTTGATGCTGATGGCAAAGCGCTCGGCCTCGGCCGGCCGCTCCCGGACCAGGTAGGTGCCGCTGGCGTGGGGCTTGAGCAGGTTGTCTGTCTGCTGCCGCTCCATGTTGCCCGCGAACCTAGAGCCACGGGAGGAAGCGAGGGGTCGCTGACGGCCCTGACCGCGTCCGCCCGGCAGGAGGAGCCGCTGGGAGTGAGGCCCCGGCCTGGGCCCCGGCGGCTCCCTTCCTCCAGGCGGCGGGTGGCCCGGCCGGTGGAGACGGTCGCTGGGCCCTGGGCCCTGGGCACCGCGGCTCACACCCAGACCACCACCTTCACGCCTGTATCAACGCCAACATCCTCTGTCCCACGAGCGGCTGCATGTGGAGACACGTGACTAGACTGGCCTCCAGTGTGCCGCCTCCACATGCGGTAGCAGCTCTCCCTGCAGAGAGCGTGAGACAGCTCCTCACTCCCCCAACCGTCCCCCCATGACCGGCAAAGCGGCCGCCGCCAGGGGTGGGGAGACCCCCAGACCCAGGCCATCAGCCCAGCACGGAGCAGGGTAAGAGCTGGGCTCTGCTGCCTGGAGAACCCAGACCCAGCCTGCTCTCAGCCTGTGGACCACCCCATAGCCCAGGGGCCCCCAAGCCCAGAGATGCCCCCGACACACAGCCCAGAGCCTCCCCGCCCCCCCTGCTGCCAGCCCAGGGCCGCGCCGGCCGGCTCACCAGGGGTAAGCACTGTAGTCGATCTCCCGGGACGGCAGCCGGCCGATGGGGGGCTGGCAAAGGAGAACATGGGGTTAATGCCCCCCAGGGGCCGCCCTCATGAGGGGGGAATAGAGGGGGCTTGTCGGCAATGACCTGACCCTTGGGCCCCGGAGCCAATGGACTGCGGGGTCCCTGGGGGCAGTGACCGGGACTCCACCTCTGAGTGACTGGTACTGGGTTTGAATGAATGAGTGGTGAAACGAGTGAATGAATGAGTAGCAGCCACCACCCGCACCCGCCCCAGGAGGTGTGACAGAGGCTGCAGGACGCCTCGGGGGCCACGAGCACCCCCACAGCTCTGGGCAATCCGGTCCGTTTCTGCGTTTCTAACACCCGTGATGGGATGCAGTCCCTGGCCGGGCCCTCAGACAGGAGGCCTCTGCCCTGGGCCCACCCTCCCCTCCGCCAGCTCACCCGTCCGTCCACGGGGCAGGGCTTCACGGACGCGCTGGGGAAGCAGCCGGACTTCCTGGTCTGCACCAGCCGCCCCTGCGGCAGAGGGAGACCCGGTCAGGCCGAGGGCAGTGTGTTTGGGGGCAGCTTAGCGCTCACTGCCCCCCAGGGACAGGCACGGGGAAGGGCCATCTGGAGACACGGTGACGGCATCGCCTCCCTGCCCTGACCTCCGCTGACCTCACAGCCCTCCGGGCAGGACGGGGTCACAGAGGAGCACGCTGACCCACAGAAGGGCCTCCCCAGGGAACAGCCATGGCCCCGAGGCCCCGCCCACAGCCCTCCTCCCTCCAACCCTGCCACCCCAACCTCACCAGCCCTGCCAGGGCGCAGGGCCTCTGCCTGGGCCAGGGGCGGGGCAGGTGACTGGGCCTCCACCTCCAGCCCAGCACCCACCTCCCACCACGGAGACTCGGGGTCCCCTCTGAGCAGCTCAATCACGTCGCCCGTCTGGAAGGTCAGCACCGGCTTTCCGGGGGGGGCGGGGTTGCCGTGGTAATTCTGCACGGCCACCATCTTGGGACCTGTGGGGACAGGGGGTGGGGGTGGCTCGGGGACTCCATCCTGCCCAGACTCCAGCGTCTCTGCTGTGTGTGCATGTGTGTGCGTGAACCTGTGTGCGTGCAGGTGCGTGTGTGCGTGTGTGACAGGCTCGGGGACGTGTTTTCCTTCAGCGCCTCCTCCCGGGACCAGCAGCGGCGCCTGCAGGGGGCGAGCTCCCGGGTCAGAGAGCAGGTAGGCCTGGGACACGCCAAGGCCATGCCCTCACTGGCCCCGGCGGCTCTGGGGCTGAAGGGGGTTCTGGCTGAGCCCCTGAACCGTGCAGGCCGGGCCTCGTCAGGCCCCTCTCTGGCCCGGCCGCCCAGCGTGGGCCTGTCTGCCCATCCCGGTCCCGGTGCTGGGTCCCAGCGGCAGGGGCATGATCAAGCCACGTTCCTGTGACGCAGTGCAGGGTGGGTGTTTGCGTAGCATGTGCATGGCATGTGTGTGTGTGTGTGTGTGTGTGTGTGTGTGTGTGTGTATGGTGGGAAGAGGAGACAGAACACAGGAAAGCAGCCATGCTCCCGGCTGCGTGGCTCGGGGCCCAGGTGACCGCTGACAAGGACGGGAGCCGAGAGGCCCCAGCCCACACTCACCTGGTCCCGCTCCAGAGGCGTCCTGTGAGGGAAGGACAGATGACAGGGCTGAGGAGGCCGCCCACAGTCCGACACTGCCCCTCCCCAGAGAAGGGTCAAGACAGGGAGGGGCGGGACAGGACGTCCTAGTCTCCTGCTCCCCTGTGACACCCCTCACTATTTCTACTGTGTCTTCCCCCCTTTGTGCCCCCCACAGCCCTGGGACCCCCACCCCTCCCCCCGCCCACCTTACCACCAGCTCCCACCTCCTCCAGGAAGCCTGCCCTGACCACCCCGGCCTGGAGCTCCTGTCTGAGCCTGGGACAATCCCGCTGCATCTGCTCCTCCAGGGGCGTTGACACCCCTCGCAGGGCTGGGGAGCACGTGTCAGTGCTGGCTAACTTGTCTGGACCCCAAAGCTGGGCGGCCCTGACATCCACGCCCCATAGTGACCTCAGGGCAGCCTCGGGCCAGCTAAGCAGAGGGCAGTGAGCCAGGGGGGCAGGTGGGCAGGAGCCGGTGACAAAGCCGGACCCCGTGGCCACGAGCCGGCCGCCGGGCAGGTGGAAAGGGCGGGGGGGGGGGGGGGGCGGGGCAGCAACACCAGTGGCTGTGCTCGCCGGGGCGGCCGGGAGTGCCGAGAGCTGGCACGGCGGGGCCTGGCGGCACAGGGCATGGGCTGCGGGCGGCAGAGCGTGGCGGACTCACCAGGTCAGCCGGCGAACCTGCAAAGGAAGCACCGGCTCAGGGCCAGCCCCGGCACGGGCCGGGCTCCCGCAGCGGGCGAGTGCGTGTCTGACCAGGGCCTCCAAAGGCGGGAGCGGCCCGTCTGGGGGGCCCAACCACAGACGCAACGGGAACTGGGAGAGCGGCCGGCCAGGGTGAGCGCCCACAGCAGGAGGGGCTGCGGCCACCCCCGGGTCCGCTCGTTTGCTCGTCCTACATTCCCCCATTTCCCCGCAGCAGCACGCAGCCGTCAGAAAGCCAGTCCTCTGACTCGTGCCGGTCTGTGCGGCGTGCCCAGAACAGAGGGTTCTGGAAGGTTTAGAGCCTCACGGCAGGGCCGGGGGCCTGGGTCCCGTGGGGACGAGGGCCGGGCTTCATTCGAAAGCAGAGCCGAGGGGCAGGGACCTGCGGAGGCCACCCGCGCCCTGCAGGTGTGGATGGCCCAGCCCCTCCCCGCTCCCCGCCATGGACACTGATGTCCAGCCCCGTCCACCCTCAGGGCAGCTGCTTCACCCAGACGCCACGGCCGGGAGCAGGGCCCTGCCAGTGCCGTGGCTGCTGAGGCCGGGCCCGGGGCTGGGACCGGGGGGGGGGGGGGGGGGGGAGGCCCCACAGGGAGGCCCGGACCCCGGACCGAACAGCCTCTGGTCATTTCTTCACCAGTTTATGGGGGCATTTATTTTCTTCTCTCTCTCTCTTTTTTTTCCTTCAAATTTTTGACAAGTATGTTACTTTTAGGATCAAAAGAACAACAAAAACACTTCCCCGAATGCCAGTCACCCAGTGTGAGGGACACGTGGCCACAAGAGGGCAGTGCTCCTGCCGGGAGGGGCCTGGGTGGGAGTGGGCAGGTGGGCGTGGGGCCCAGGGGCGGGGCCATCGGACGCTCCTCCCCTCTCAGGCACTGGGCCAGACTCAGCAGTAAATAGAAACTAAGTGTGCGCGCGTGTGCACATGTGCGTGTGCGTGCGTGCATGTGCGTGTGCACATGAACCACCTGCAGCACGGCTCAGCTGGAGGGCCAGGCGCCCGGCGCAGGAGAAGCGGGCGCAGGGTTTCTCTGAGACCAGAGCCCCTGCGCACTTCCCAGAGGTTCTGTGTCCATTTTGGGGGACCCCACAGGCCCCCGCTGGGATGAGGCGGGGACACGGGGAGGCGGAGAGAAGCCCTCCAGGGCGCAGCCAGGAGGGAGGAGCCCGGCCCCTGGCCCTCACCGCGGCGCCCGGGGCCGGTGTCCCCCCCTCCAAGCCTCGGTGTCCTCAGCCGCCCGGCCAGCGGGAAGGAGCACACCAGCCCAGGAGGGGGCGGAGGTGGTGGTGGCTGCGGGACCTGGGCGGGGTGCCGGGCGGCCCGGGGGCGGCTCCCAGCGGCATGGGGGCGGGCAGGGTACTCACTGATCTTGCAGGGCGGCGTCACCTCCAGGCACTCCTTGTGGGCCCCGACCCCGCACTTGGTGCACAGGTAGCCCTGGTAGAAGGTGCCCCTGTGCCGGGGGGGGGGGGGGGGGGGGAGTGAGGCAGGGCCCAAGAGCACCAGGCCCACCCGCTGTCCCCCCAAAGCCCACCCCTCCCCACCCCGGGCCTCTGAGACCCCGTCCCCTCTCCCCACTAAGGTGACCAAACGTCCCGCTAATGGCGGGACGGTCCGCATCTCCAACAATTTGTCCCGCGTCCCAAGGTGTTTTGAAAAAGTCCCGATTTTTTTATCCAAAAAGCGGGACTTTTTAAAAACGCTGCGGGACAAATTACCAAAGACAGCCCGCCTCGCTCTGCCGTCCCACACGCGGGCCCTGGGCACCCTCCCGAGGGACAGTCCTCCCCGCCCTCCCCTCCCGCCGGGTCTGAGCTGAGGGCCCGGCCAGGGCGGTGGAGGTCGGGTTGGCGGAGGAGGCGGTGGGTGCGGGCCCTTGGCGGGGGCGGGGCGGGCTCACCGGAGGAACATCCGGCAGGCCTTGCAGCTGGTGGTCTTGTCGAAGGTGTACATCTGGAAGCTGTGATGGTTGGCGTTGGCTTTGTCCGGCTTGATGTTGGACCTGGTGGGAGGGAGGCGGCAGGTTCCCTGAGCCCGTGCCAGCAGGCTGGGCCGGGACGGAGCCGGGCCTGTCTGACACCCCGGCTAGACAGGGTTTGGGGGGCAGAGGCAGGCGCAGGCACTGGACAAGACTGGGCGGAGGGGCCCCTGGGGACGAGCTGGCAATGAGAAGACTGTGAGTGGCAGCGAGCTGAAGCTCACAGCGGGCACATCCCCTGCCAGCGGGCACGGGGCCGGGGCTTAGACAAAGCCAGCGGGTGGGATCGGGGTGCTCCTGAGAGGGTTCGGGGAGACACTGCCACCTGGGGCGGGGGCAGAGGTGAAGGAGACATCATCCATCTTCCCTTTCTTTAAAAATATTTTTTTTAATTTCAGAGGAAGAGAGAGGAAGAGAGAGAGAAACAACAACAGGAGTCATGGATGGGCTGCCTCCTCCACGGCCCCCACTGGGGACGGAGCCTGCAACCTGGGCCTGGGCCCCGTCGGGGAATCGAACCCTCATCTCCTAGTTCACAGGTTGACGCTCAACTGCTGAGCCACGCCAGCCGGGCGGTCATTGGCTCTGACATGTCCTCCCAGGGCGTGTTCCCTTCGGCCCCCCTAACAAACCCCTAACCGCCTCCGTGCACTGCCGGTTCACCAGGAGAGAGGCCAGGAGTGGGCACACCTGCCCGTCTGACCGCAGAGTCTGAAGGCACAGGACCTGCCTCTCCAGCCTCGGGGCCAACGTGCCTGGGTCCCCGTGACCCACTGGTCACCTTCTCGCTGGACAGAAGGGCTCTTCCTGGACAAGCTCTGTGGCTTCACAGACGGGGACAGCCCGGCCTGGGCCCCGAGGCAGCGTCACCAGGGGTCCATCTGGCATCGCGACCACTGCTGGCCACGGTGTGCCCTGCCGGACAGCGTGCCGGGCTCAGCCTCGGGGCAGCGGGCAGCGGAGCCTGCCTGGGCCAGCAAGGACGCCACCAGCATGGCGCTGGGGGGGGGCGGAGTTCGTCTGGGTCTCTGGGCACCTGCCCTCACCCTCGCCTGAGAGAGTCCTGGACAGAGTCCCCCGAGCCCCCCAATACTGCCCCCTGGACTCCCACGCTGCCCCCTGGATTTCCATGGCCATCCCCGACTGCTCCATCCACTGGACAGAGTCCCCCTGAGCTCCCGAGCCCCCCCAGTCCAGGGCTGCCCCCCGGACTCACATGGCCACCTCAAACTGCTCCATCCACTGGACAGAGTACCCCCTTGGGTTCCCTAGCCCTCACGCTGCCCCCGGACTCACATGGCCATCTCAAACTGCTCCATCCATTTCCGCTTCGTGTCCTCCGTCTTGCAGAAAAACTGGAAGCCCTGCTTGCCTTGCAGGTGGATCAGGTAGAAGCCATAGGACCACTGTGAGGGGAGAGAACATGTGTGTATCCACGTGTACAGTGCACGCCTATGCATGTCTATGCCTGTGTGTGCACATGTACGCATGTGCACACACAGGCACAGGAATTTGGAAACCTCAAGCCCATATGTTAGAGTGCCAGAAGGAAAGGAAGGGGGGAGGTCCCGAGAGCAGGAGGGGGAAGGGGGAGAGGAGAAATGACAGAGGACGACAGAGGAACACTAGACTCGCATGCATGTTTGTTCTTGTGTGTGCATATGTGTGTGTGTACAGTACACTCGTGTGTTTATGTGCATATGAGTGTGCGTGTGCATGTATACAGTGCACTCATGTATGTGCCTGCACACATGTGCGTAAGGGCATGTGCACACCCCTCCCAACTCCTCCAGGGTGCACCCTCAGCTGAACTCCACTGGTACATCCGGGCCTGAGCCTGGGCGGGTCCCCGGGGAGCCCGCGTTCGGGACCCAGCCCGGCCTTCCATCAGGCACGCCGGCCCCACTCTCCTTCCTAAACGAGGCGCCAAAGGAGCGCCCGCTCCGAAGCAAACCCACCCAAACCCACCGAGAGGAGCAGGGAGGGGAGGCCACGGGACTGGGCCCCACCCCACACCCACCCCCTCGGCGCCCCAGCCTGGCCCTCAGGGGCTGCCACAGGCCCAGGAAGGAGTGTGGAGTCCGAGCCCCCCTGTCAGAGTGACGGGGGGGAGGGGGGGGAGGCAGAGAGGAAGAGGGGGGGGGAGAGGAAATGGAGGAAAGACAGAGGGTGACAGAGGACACCAGACACACCCCTGGCCAGCCATGGCCTAATCTCCGGGGAACAGGCAGGCGGGGCCTCGTTTGAACCCTCTGTAAGAGGCAAACCTTCCTGCATCGTTTGAGGAGGAAGATGAGGAGGAAGAAGCCATAGGCCGCCCCCCTCGGCCCCGGGTCCCCGGCCCCTCCCGGCTCAGGGGAAGTGCCGCTCGCCGAGGTGAGGAAGGCATGGGCGCCAGGTGCTTACCATTTTCCCATGAGACTAGGCAGCGTGCGGGAGGGAAAAGGGGGCGAGGTCACCAAGGGCTCACAGCCCAGGACACTGGCCGCTGAGGGCCGGGGTGGGCAGCGGCCTCCCCCAGGGGAGAGGGGGCGGGCGGGGCCCTGGGGGGTCTCAGCCGGGAGCTGGGAGTGGCCGCGGCTCACCCCTCTGGGCCCTGGGAGCTTGTTTGGGACCCACGGTCAGGCAGGTCACATCAGCTCTTCCAGGCGGCACCCTCACTCTGCACTGTGAACCCTGAGGCCCAGGACCTGGCTCTTTAGCACGTGGGCTCCTGGCCCTCACCCCACTCAGGGCTGCAAATGAGGCCCCAGAGATGGCGCAGAGGCCTCTGCAGGAGCAGGACTGAAGGGAGAGAGCAGGGCAGTCCCATCCCGCAGCCGAGGCCCCATCCCCAGCTGCTGTGGCCCCACCCCCAATTGCTATGGCCCCACCTCCAGCTGATATAGCCCCACCCCCATAGCCATGGCCCCACCCCCAATTGCTATGGCCCCACCTCCAGCTGATGTGGCTCCACCCCTCCAGCCGTGGCCCCACCCCCAGCTGCCACAGCCCCGCCCCCAGCTGCCACGGCCCCACCCCCAGCTGCCGTGACTCCACCCCCAACAGCCAAGGGCCACTGTCCATGCAGCAGTCTGAGCACTTAGCTGGGTCCTCTGCCCCTCCCTTCACTCGGGCACTGAGGAGGATTCAGAGACAAAGCCAGGGATGGGTGGGCGAGAGGGGCGCCTTCAGCAGGAGCCCTTCTGACAGAGGATGACTCACAGGAAGCCCTGTCCCTGGCAGCCCACCCTTCCCCAAGGCCACCACCTCAGCGGGGCATCCCGGCTCCCCGCCCGCTGCCCCAGGACGGGCCCCACCTTCTTGAGGTCCCGGTTGTTCATGGGGTCGTCGGTCATCTTGTGGAAGAGCAGCTCGATGATCTCCTTCAGCTCGTAGCTGTAGCCCCGCCGCTTGCACACAATGACCACCTTGTCGAACAGGAACAGGTACCTGCCCGGGCGCGGGGGCGTCAGCGTGGCCCGCTCCGCGCTCTGTGCTCCGGGCCCTGCCCTTCGCCTGGCCCCCCTAATGCTGACCCTCGGCCAGGGCTCTGCCGCTCAGTACGGCTCCTCCAGGAAGTCCTCCTTGACCTCCCCCGTGGCCCAAGGAGCACGTGGACTCCTCCACCCCCTAGCTCCACCACCCACTAACCAGAGGGGAGCGGAGCCCGTGTGACAGAGGACACCAGACACACCCTGACCGGCCACGGCCTTAACCTCCGTGGAACGGAGCAGGCGGGGACAGGCAGGCGAGGGACAGGCCCCGGCCGGGCCTCGCACACAGCAGGAGGGCACGGAGGGCTGAACAGCTGCCGTGCCAGCTCAGCCAGAGCCGTCCCCGTCGCCCGCCTGGCACTCCCTCAGTCACCTGGCAAAGGGCTCGCGTGGCCACTCTGGCCGGCTGGCTGCTGGGAGCCTGGGAGCTGGCCGGCCATGGCCTCTGGCTCTCCCCCAGCCCAGCCCGGTGCAGGGCAGTCCGTGGGCGTGGCGGCCGCTGGCTGGCTGCCGTGGCTCACCAGCGCTCTCGCCGAGAAGGCAGGAAGCAATTAAAACGGAGCCACACAAAGCCGGCGGCAGGCAGCGCTCGCCGGCAGAGCAGCCACTTCCTCACCGTGGGGGCGGGCGCCTGGCTGGGCCGGTGCTGCCACCCGGGACGCTGCCGCCGCCCGCTCACCTGTCCTGCTTGGTGTGGTTGACGATGGACCGCACCTTCAGCTCCCCGTCGATCTTGGGTCGCCCAAACTCCTCCAGTTTGACTTGCTAGGAAGTCGGGGAGGGCGGTTAGCCGTCAGCTCGTGCCGGGCAGGCCCCGTCCCATCCCGTCCCCGCCGGAGGAGGCTGTGCGCACCAGCCCAGGGGCTGACCCCACAGAGGCGGAAACCCAGCGACAGAGCCGGTGCTTAGAACAAGGGGCAGGTGACGGAGAAGCAGGCCTGCCCGCTCCGGGGCCCTCGCCGCCGGGACTGCCTGCACCTCCCAGGAGCAGACCCTGCACGCTGGGCGGCCTCCCCGGCCGCTGTGGCGATGCTCAGCGCAGAGACCGGTAGGAAAGGCCAGACGCCCGGCCCGAAAGCCAAGTTCAAGGGAACAGAGAGCGTCTAACAGACGAGGGCGGGCAGGGTTGTCCTGCCCGGAACACGGGTCACGCTGACGGTCCAGCTGCCCCGGGGCCGTGGGACAGGCTTCCCCCAGCCCTCTGCTCTGCGGAGATTCCATCCCGTTTCCCGTGAGGCTGTATCTCGGCTGCTCTGCTTGGACGCGGTCCTGGTGACCCACGCAGACAGGAAGGCTGAGCCCTGCCCTCCGCCTGGCTCCGGCACCAATGCTGACCCACAGGTACGCCTCCTCCAGGAAGCCCTCACTGGCCTCCCCCCCCTTGAGGGGGCCGTGTCCGAGTGGCGCTCCAATGGACGGGTCACCCATGCACAAATTCATGCACCGCGCCTCTCCGAAATATATACACACACACACATAGTGGGTGGCCAGGTTATTATGCGTTCAGAAATCATAATAATCTGGCCACTCAGTGTGTGTCCTATAGAATAAAAGGCTAATCTGCAAATTGTCCCCTCGACCAGGAGTTCGACCAGCAGGCAGGCTGGCCAACCGCCCATGTCCCCTCCCCATGGCCAGGCTGGCCGACCCCATCCCTACATAAATTCATGCACCGAGACTCTAATGTACACTGAGTCGTCACATTATTACACGTTCAGAAATCATCCTAATCGGGCCACTCCGTGTACATCTAAAAGAGAAGTCTCCATTCTCTGGAGAGTCGGCCACACTTACCAAGTTTTCTATGGAACTCTGAAACTCGCTGATTTTCTTCAGGGTCTCTTTGTCCCGTTTCACTTCATTTATGTACATGGCCAAGTCCTTGAAAACAGCAGCGGGGGGCGGGTTAGCGGGCCCACGCTGGGCAGGGCGGGGGGCTCGGCTCCAGCCCCCAGTCCACACCCGCCCAGAGCTGAGGACTTCAGAGCACTCCAGCCCAGCCGGCCGGCGGGGCTCAGGGGCTGAGCGCTGACCTGTGAGCCAGGAGAGAACGTTCAAGTCCCAGTCAGAGCACAGGCCCAGACTGTGGGCTCCATCCCCAGTGAGGGGCGTGCAGGAGGCAGCCGATCCACGATTCTCTCTCATCACTGATGTTCTGTCTCTCTCTCCCTCTCTCTTCCTCTCTGAAGTCAATAGAAAATACATGTTTTTAAAAAGCACCTTCCACCAGCTGCCAGAGGTGGCTGGCTCTCAAAGCAGCAAGGAGTGAGAAGGGCCAACCCCCCTGGACAGATAAGAAACTCGGGAAGAAAAGGTAGAACCCCAAACCGCACTCCAATCGGGGCCAAGAACCCCGAACTCCCGCCTCCTGACCCCGTAGGTGGGAGTGGATAAACATCAGGCAACTAGACTCGAACAGCTATGTCTTAGCTCTGGGGAGGGGACCCCTAGGTGGGGACTCCAGGAGCCCCGGCTGCATGTGGGCGAACCCCACCAGCTTGCCAGCTGGCCATGCCATGCAGCCTCCTGCTGACCACCAGGGGGCAGTGCCCACCACAATCCAGAGGGCAGAGTGAGTGAGCAGGGCACCCAGCGCTGCGGAGAGCCAGGGACCCGGCCCACCCCGGGAACCAGGAGGGCGCCGCTGCCTGCCCAGCAGGGGCACAGGCTGCCGTGGTGGAGCCACAGCCTGGTGCAGCCTCCGCAGAGCTCCCGCCGTGCCAGGGCAGGGCCAGACCCGAGGCAGAAACGCTGCAGGCGGCCGGCAGCTGTGCGCCCACGGCAGCCCTGCGGTACAGGCCACGGCCACACGACGTGGAGTGAAGTCTCCCACGGGCACAGGCTGCTCAGAGGCGTGCTCAGCGTGGAGCATGCACAACGGGGAGTGGAACCCAGGGGCCCCCTGGGAAGACTGGGACACAGTGGGAGAGGGGCGGGCCCGGCCTGCCACCACTCAGCGGGAAAGGCTGGAGGTGCTCAGGCTTGGCGTGGCCACGAGGCAAGCACCACCGCAGAGCCACACGAGCACGCTAAGAAGCCCATGCCTGACGGGCGGTGGGAGACACGGGAGGCTAATATGCAAATGTGCGACGCCAGCTGAACTCCCCTTGGCAGCTGCCAGTGGCTGGCACGGGCCTGGGAGGCGGGGGAGGTGGTGCGACTGGGGGGGTGGCTCAGGGGCGGGCATGTCAGAAGCAGCCGTCCCAGGGCTGGGCAGCAGGCAGCACAGGACAGATGCCCAGACCTGAGTCGAGGGCCTGGGAACCCATGGCCTCAGCAGACAGCGGGAAAGCCTGCAGGGTCCCGGCCCCGACCCTCTGCCCGTGGGTGGGTCTCCCCACCACCTGTGCCCTGCTCTGCTCCGTGCTCCCTGGGAGATGCTACATCTAGGGTGAACCCCATCCCAGCCCAGGAATGCAGGCCTGGTGGGCTAAGCCCCCGGCCAGCCCGGCCACTCCCTGCCTCGGTTTACCCACCCACCTGCATGGCTTCCAGTGCTTCTTTCAGCTGCTGCCTCTCGGGCCGGTCGGTGGAATGGCTCAGAAGTTCCTGAGGGGGTGAGAAGGGAGCTCAGGGGTCTGGGCCTCTGCCCTCGCCCCCACCGGGTACAGGGTGCGGGCAGGCACAGAGCGAGGCCTCCTGAGAGAGCCGGGCTCAGCTGCCGCCTCCAGCAGACAGGAGGCCCCCACCCGGGCCACCCACCACTTCAAGGGAGGGGTGTCCCCAGTCCGGTGGGTAACAGGAGGGACACTCCCGCCACAAAGCTGGGTGCTGAGCCCACAGGAACCGCTGGTTCACGAAGAGCCTCCCTCGGCACCTCCCACAACCAGCGTCGCCCCAGGTCCGTCTGCCCAGGAGGACTTCATTCCCCTTTCTCCGTGGCCACCGGGGAGCTCCGGGCGGCTAAGGTGCAGCCCTGGGAACACTCACTCCTGGCCGGGGCGCTTCCTGTCCCCCCCCCCACCCCCGCTTTCTCCACTCGCGCCCCACGTGAGCCCTCGCTCTCCTGTGCACGCCTCCCACGGCGCCAGCAGAGCCGGCTCCTGGCGCCTGCGACTTCCAGGCCTAAGCAGCGCCCTCCTGTGGCTGCTGGCTCTAACCTGGGCCCGCCCTGCCCGGCCAGCCACGGGCTCACCTTCAGGAGGAGGTGGTACTTGAGCACCCGCTGCATGGGCACCACCAGCAGGTCCTGCAGCTTGAACTTCCCGTCCTGGACCTTCAGCGTGCATTCCTGGACGTCGGGGCGGCAAGGCGATGAGGGGCGTCCCGGCCCGGGGACGCTGGGCCCCGACGCTCCCACACCCCGGCCGGGGGCAGACCTGAGGCTGGAACTGGGGCCCAGGCGTCCCGTCCTTGTCTGGCCTGGCTCCCGGAACCCCCTCTCCCCAGAACCAGGGCGGGGCTGCTGCCTCTCACAGCCTCGGAGCTGCAGCGGTCACACGAGGGCTGCAGGTCTGGGGCTGGCGCTCCCTGGGCCGGCCTCCACGCCCGCGGGGAGCCAGCTCACGGGGAGGGGGGGCACCCGTACAACCAGGGCTCCCTCTCTGCCTGGACCCGGGCACCCCCGCACCGCTGACTAAGGGACCACTCCAGAAGCAGGGTCTGATGGGAACCCAGCCGGGGGCAGCCTGGCCCACCCCAGGGAGGGGAGCGAGGACAGGGTCCGAGTGGGAAACCCCACAGGAGCCGGGCCCTGAGCCCGGCGAGGATGGGAGAGCGGGCGGGGGGTTGGGGAGGGAGGATCTCCACAGCTCCCCGCAAACAGCCGTCACCTGGGGCCCTCCTGGGTAAGGTGACCAGACCTCCCAATTTTTAACAACGTGTCCCTCGGCATTTTTAAAAAGTCCTGATTTTGGGCAAGACTTGGAACTTTTTTAAAGCGCCGCGGGACAAACTGTTAAAAATCGGGACTGTCCCACCAAAAGCGGGGCATGTGGTCACCTTACCATTGGAGTCCACTTAGACCAGGGTCCGGGGTCGGTCACAGCCCCTCACTGAGCCAGACCCGGTCCTCGGGGCCCACCTCTCCGGCACCCCAGGGCTCAGGCTAAATTTGGCTCACTGCCCACCCAGAGGAAGGAGAAATCACCTGCTAAAATCACCCACAAAAAAGTCCTATCAGCCCGGCCGGCATGGCTCAGGGGAGGAGCACCGACCTGGGAACCAGGAGTTCAGGGTTCGATTCAAGGTCAGGGCACAGGCCCGGGTTGTGGGCTCGATCCATGGAGGCAGCTGATCCATGATTCTCTCTCATCACTGATGTCCCCCTCTCTCTCTCCTCTCCCTTCCTTTCTGAAATCAATAACAATTAAAAAATCTTTAAAAAAGAAAAAGTCCACCTTCCTACAACGTGGGTGAGCAGGAGGCCATGGAGCCGGGGAAAGGCAGGGGCAGGGCAGGGGCCGGGCCGGGAGCCACTGTCACCTCCACTTTCAGCCTGAATTCCTCCCGGCTGGCGAGGAGCTGGTTCAGCGTGTTCTGAGCGTGCTCCATGCGGCTGCAGTACTCCCCGTAGATCAGGAGCCTGGGCATGCACATGCAGACATGTAGAGCCACATGTGTGCAGACACGTGCACACACACACATGCCACCTGCCGCGGGTGGCTCACAGCCAGGGGGCCCCTCCCCCCGGTGGAGCCACTGGTCAGCTCTGCACTGTCCTGCTCGGACCCAGAGAGGCGCCTGGGCGTCCCGAGGCCCCGCAGCCGGAGGGCCGCACCCACCTCTCCTTGAACTCCAGGAAGACCTTGGCCAGCGTGCCGCCGCCCGCCATCATGGCTACGTCGATGGCCCTCAGGAAGCTGTGGTGCACTCTGATCAGGTCCTGAGGGAAAGCCGCGGGCACGTGAGCGGGCACCGCCAGAGAGGCCCCCGGTCCCTGTTCGCTCTCGATGGAGAGGCCCGGGCACGGGGGTGCGTCCCACAGAATGTGGGTGTAACCCAGCCAGGAGGGCTCCCGGGCTGGCGCCCAAGGAGGCCTGAGCACACACCCAAGTCCCCGAAACCAAGCCCTCCTCTCATCTGCCAGCCAAGAAGCACCCCTAGCCAGGACCCACCGAGCCCCGGGCAGGGATGCAGCGCAGCCCGGGACCTGGGTACTGGCACAGCCGGGACCCAGGACAGAGCCTGCGGGCGGGTGCAGCCAGGGACCCGGGACAGAGCTCGCGGGCGGCGCACAGGCTCACCTCCAGGTTGATGAAGACGGCTGCCATGTCCGTGGGGCTCAGCACCAGCCTCAGGGGGCCCATGTAGTTCTGGAAGACAGAGCCGATGCCCCTTAGCCTGGAGCAGCCACCTCCCGGCCTCAGCTCAGCCAGGGGCTCTGACAACCCCCACCCCCAGGTCAGGGCTCCCTGCGGGCGGCGCGCAGGGCTCGCTGGAGAGCGTCTGGGAGGCCAGGCTCTGCCACGGGCCGATGGGAAGGGCCTGAGCACCGAGGAGGGCCATGCCCACCCCTGGGGGCACGTGAGTCCCGCTGGACCCGAACCCCACAGCCACCGCCAAGCTCGGCTGGCCTTTGAGACACGAGGAAACAGGCCCGGGAGGTGACGGGCCCACGGGCCCCGCCTGCGCCCTGAACCTGCGGGAGCGGCTCTCCACGCCCAGCAGCTCCCCGAGGCAGGCGGTGGTCCTGTCCGAGCCGCCTCGGCTCTCACAGGTGCCAAGGCCCCTCCTGCCCGGGAGGACTCCGCCACTCCCCTCTGGCCCTTCTCCCCGGGGCCCTGCCCGGCCTCCCCCGCACTGGACAGAGTGGGAGGAAGTGCCCACATGGACAGGCTGTCTGACCTGTCTGACTCGGGGTTGGCACACTCGCCTCAAATGGGGAGGGGAGGCCTGCAGACATGGTTACCCCCCAGCACACGGCACGCCCGGCCGGGCCCACCTTCTCGATGTCCTCCAGCGTGCGGTAGTACTTGGCCTCGGTCTCCTGGATCTCCATCAGGCAGCACGTCCGCTTGTCATCCTCCGTCATGCCCATTTTCTACGGGATGGATGGACACGGGCACGGGGCGTGAGCAGGGTCGCCCACCAGGCCTGCTGCCCCCTTACCGCCGGGCGTGGCCAACGTGGGGCCAGATGGGAGATGGAAGGGACCCAGGCTTCCTTCCCCACCTCTCCCCTTACAGAGGAGGAAACTGAGGCACGGGAGGGGCTGTGTGGGAACCTGAGAACTGACGGCAGTGCCAAGGAAGCATGGCTCCAGGCCAGGGCGAGCCCCGCACAAGCCACCTCCGGCCCAGGCTGCAGGAGTGAGGTGCTTAAAGCACCTACTGTGTGCACAGGAGAGGCTCTGACCGGCTCCCTGAGGACCCGGGTCTGAAACCTGAGCTGGTGCCTCAGAGAAAGACACCGATTCCCCACCGGCTAACACCACGGGCAGGGCCTTGGGGACACGCTGTCATGGCAGGGCTGGCCCCCACCTCTGGGGGGAACGGGGCGGGCTGACCAAGAGGCTGTGGCCACAGAGCCGGGAAGGGGGTGATGTGACTGCAGAGGCAGCATCGTTACTCCCGGGGCGCAGGGGGTGCTGAGTGACCCCCTAACACGGCATAAGAACAGTCGGCAGTGTCTCTGGGACGGGGCCGAGGTAGGGAGCCGCGCGGGCAGCGCTTACCTGCATGTACCTGATCTGCGAGCGTGGAAACGGAGGAGAGACCCGGTTAGTGCCCCGCTGCACGGGGGTCAGGGAGCCCCACCCACACATAGCCCACAGCCTCAGGGGTGCCCCCTGCCGGGATGGCGGGGAAGGACAGCCCGGGTCCAAGCCCTTTAAAGACGGGGCTGAGAGCCACACCGGCCAACCTCTGGCTTTATCTTCCTTCGAAGAGGTCACCGTCCCCACGGCTCCTCTAGGACTAGGGGGGAGCCCGACCGTGGCTGGGGTGGCAGGGGGTAGCGGGGAGTGGCAGGGGGTGGCGGGGGGTGGCGGGGAGTGGCAGGGAGTGGCAGGGTGGCGGGGGGTGAGATAAACTGGCAGTGGGCCCCAGAGGGCGTGGCATGAGCCTGTGAGCACCAGCCCGGGGTGTTAGGACACTGAGCAGAGCAGGGCAGGGACGCCAGCTTATCCCCAGGATATTGGGGATGGGGGGACATTGTCTCAGCCCCAGGCCCTGCCGACGGCCCCAGTCCTGCTGTGTGGGGAGCAGCACCAGGACAGAGGGAGCTCCGGGAGGCCCTCTCCAGGTCCCCGCAGGCCAAGCGCCTGTGGGGGCCCGAGGGGCTGTGGCCAGATCCCCATCTCCCCGGCTGGCTGGCAGGACCCGCCTTCCCCACAACAGCTGTGGGCATTAACCCCGCACCGCAGCCAACGGGCGTCCTAGGCTGTTAGCCGCCGCCGGCGGGAAACAGACACCCTCGCACCCACGGCACCCACCGCCGGCTAACAGGGGCGATGGCGGGGCCGGTACTGCCCGGAGGCCGACCGTGGTGTGAGCTGGTGCGCGTGGTGTGAGCTGGTGCCTGTGGTGTGAGCTGGTGTGTTCAGTGTGAGCTGGTGCGTGTGGTGTGAGCTGATGTGTTCAATGTGAGCTGTCGCGTGTGGTGTGAGCTGTCGCGTGTGGTGTGAGCTGTCGCGTGTGGTGTGAGCTGTCGCATGTGGTGTGAACTGGCGTGTGGTGTGAGCTGATGCCTGTGGTGTGAGCTGGTGTGTTCAGTGTGAGCTGGTGCGTGTGGTGTGAGCTGGTGTGTTCAATGTGAGCTGTCGCATGTGGTGTGAGCTTTCACGTGTGGTGTGAGCTGGTGTGTTCAGTGTGAGCTGGTGCGTGTGGTGTGAGCTGATGCCTATGGTGTGAGCTGGTGTGTTCAGTGTGAGCTGGTGCGTGTGGTGTGAGCTGATGCCTATGGTGTGAGCTGTCGCGTGTGATGTGAGCTAACACGTGTGGTGTGAACTGGTGTGTGATGTGAGCTGATGCCTATGGTGTGAGCTGGTGTGTTCAGTGTGAGCTGGTGCGTGTGGTGTGAGCTGTCGCGTGTGATGTGAGCTAACACGTGTGGTGTGAACTGGTGTGTGATGTGAGCTGATGCCTATGGTGTGAGCTGGTGTGTTCAGTGTGAGCTGTCGCGTGTGGGGTGAGCTGACGCGTGTGGTGTGAGCTGACGCGTGTAGTGTGAACTGATGTGTGGTGTGAGCTGATGTCTGTGGTGTGAGCAGGGCTCCCGCTGGGAGCTGGCGGCTCCGGGCGGGAGGAACTCCGAGCCCCGCACAGCCTTTGAGGAGAATCCCGGCTTCGCATGGCAGAAGGCGGGAAGGGCGTGTGGCAGGCAGCGTGTCACACCCCAGCCTCCTGAGGGGACTTCGCAGGGACGAGGGCCTGCACAGGCTGGGCCCAGGAAGGGGAGGAACGGGTGGGGAGGACAGGGCAGCCACACGGGACCAGCTCCCCGTCAGTGGCCAGGGCCTGGGGATGCTCAGTTTTAAAGGCCAGAATCAGCCCGGCCGGCGTGGCTCAGGGGTAGAGCGGCAACCTGTGAACCAGGGGGTCACAGTTCCATTCCCATCAGGGCACAGGCCTGGGTTGCGTGCGGGCTGATCCCCAGTAGGGGGCGTGCAGGAGGCAGCCGATCCATGATTCTCTCTCATCAGTGATGTTTCTCTCCCTCTCCCTCTCTCTCTAAAGTCCATAAACGTGTCTCTGTGTGTGTGTGTGTGTGTATATATGTGTGTGTGTTTATATATATATATTTTTTTTTTTTTTTTAAAAAGGGCAGACTGCTCTGCCAAGCCCAAAGCCCGTGCGGGCGAGGAAGAGGGCATGGGGGCGCGGTCACGGGGGGAGGAGGGCGTGCGGGCGCGGGCGGCTCACCATGGGCTGCTGCACCTCCACCTTGATGATGTCCTCGTAGATGTCGTCGCCCTCGTCCTCGCAGGGGACGCAGTCGTAGATGTCCTCCCCCACGTCGTGCTCGCTGCGGGGAGGGGCGGTCAGAGGCCCAGAGGGCGGGCACCCGCCTCCCGGCGCCTGTGTTAAACCAGCAGCGCACAGAGCCCCCCCCCCCCCCGAGACCGAGCCCCCCTCCCCGGCCCCTCACTACCTGCCAGGGACCAGGCGGAGGCCGGTGGGGAGGGGACCCCCTATGTGGGCTCCTACGACGCTCCTACTTGGGCTCCAAGGCCCAGTGGTCACCTCTCCTGAGGAGCCCTCCTGGATTTCTGGGCTGGCCTTAACCCAGCCCCAGTCCGGCTCCCACAGGGTGGTGCTCCCGTGTGCAAACTCCCTCCCAGCCCTGGGCGAGGGGTTCCCCCAGTTCAGGAACCTCACCCCGGCCGGCCCAGGACTCGGGCCGGTCGGAGCAGCACCCCGGCTTCCTCAGAGCGCCCCAGGTAGAAGAGGAGTCTCGGGGAGGAGAAGCCATGGCAAACACAAGGCACTCATCAGGAGAACCATCCCAGAGCAGCCTCCCACTCGCGGGCTGAAGCACTCCGAAGCGGCAGCATCTGTGTTAATTTTCCCGCCAGCTGCTGGCCTGCTCAATCATGCACGGTGCCAGGCCTCGGCCGCGAGCTCGGAGCCCGAGACCGTCCCCCTCACCCCGCGCCCTCCGCTCGGGGCCCGGGCTTCTGAGCCCCCGGCTCACGTCTGACCCGAGACCCCTCTGACCACTGTGCCCGCGGTTATGCCGCGCACGCCGGCTCCCTCGTGTGGACCGAGGATACGGGGACCTGTTCCACCGCCGCCCGCCCGGACTGACAGCTCTGACACCTGCCAACAGCCCAGGAAGAAGCAGGGTCTGCCCAAAATGTAGCTGCTCACTCCCGGCCGCCCAGAGGGAGTGGGGGGAATGGGGCTCCTGGCTCCCGGCGCCCAGAGGACGTGGGGGAAGTGGGGTCCCCTCGCTCCAGGCTGCCCTGATGAGTCGGGCCCTGCCCCGGCTCCGCCTCCACGTGCACGGCCTCCGGTCTGCCCAGCGCCCGGTGGGAAGTGGGGTTCCTGTTCGCCGTTGGGCGGCCCTAATGGCCATCAGCCCGGTCCACGGGGACAGGATGCGAGGACGTGCCTCCCCGCGGGAGGAGGAGGGGGAGCTTGAAAAATGTTCTAAACCAGAGCCGCTGGGACCAAATCGGAAGTTAAAGACTCGCATCCATCCCGTCCCTGCGGTCGTGTTGTATGTGCCGTCACGGCGCCGGGGAGCCCCTGGGACTGAGGCTCGCTCTAACGTCTCAGAACGGTGCCGCCGAGCTGTGCGCAGCCTCGGCCCGGGCCGGCTTCTCACTGGGACGGACCACACCCCGTGTCGGTTCAAGGGCCCAGGCCCATGGGGAGGGGCAGAGAAAGGGGCCTGGGGCCCGGGTCCCACTGTCTGACTGGCCGCGTAGAAACCCCCAAAACTGCCCGTGCACCCCAGCATCGGGGGCAGGCAGGACCCCAGGGGCAGCTGAGGGGAGGGCTCTGGCTGGTCTGAGGAGGCACTTCCTGCCACGTCCCGGCTGCCCAGGAGGCCTGGGCGATGGCACCTCAGGCCGGGCCGGTGCCTGGGAGAAGCGGCCAGTCCCTCGCCCTCGCCCAGGACAGGGGGCACCCCGGGCCCCGGGGCTTCACCTTCACGAGCAGGGAGGAGGCCCCGTCGCAGGAAGCGGGCAGGGTCCCGCCTGGCATAGGGGCTGTGCCAGCTCAGGAGCCAGGAGGGGCCACCCAGGGCTCAGCTCCGGCCTGCAGAATGGGCACCCTGCCTCTTCCGGCCACTGCCCCCAGGGAAGCGGCCAGCCCTGAGCCCAGACCACACGGTCCCCCCCTGCCTCAGCGACCCACAGCCGGGAGACCCTTTCAACCTCCTGTCAGGCACAGCCCGAGCCCGCCCTGCCGGCCAGAGGCTACGCTGGACCCACCGCTGCCTGTGCTGTGGCTCCAGCTCCAGGGGCTCGGCTCCAGAGATGCCCACATCCCCCAACGCCCACCCCAGCCCCGCCCGCCCCGGTGGCCCAGCTCTCTCTGCTCCCCGACAGGAGGCTGGGGAGGAGACCCTTCCCCCATGGCACCCCCAGACCCACCAGGGCCTTCGAGAACGAGGGGGGGGTGCAGAATGACTCATGTTTGAGAGAACAGACCCTCCCACTCACTCTCCCAACCTGCTGGGGGGACACACCAGGCCTCAGGACTGACAGGTGTGCTGGGCGGGCTCTGAGGCCCAGTGGGTACCCTCCCCTTCCCTTTCCCTCTCCTCTCCCCTCCCCTCCGCCCTCCCCCTCCCCGTCCGTCCTCCGCTCACTCGGCCAGCTCCTCCAGGCTGCGGTACACGTCATCATCGTTCTCCGCGGTCTCCTCCGAGGGGAAGGGCCTGCGGGAGAGGAGGGAGGGCGAGGCAGGCAGGTGAGTGTCGCTGACACGAACCGGCCAGGAGTGAGAGCTGGCGTGGCGCTGCCAGAGGAGCTAACCGGCTCCCGTCTGCCTCCCAGGGAGAGACCAGCCGGGCTGTCTGTCCGTGCGGTTCTGATTCTACTTAATCCTGTCACCCCCCTGCACTCAGCCCAGCTCCACGCCTCGGCCTCCGCCAGGCTGCGTGGGGCGCGAGCTGCTCCCCTGCAGTCCCTCCACCCCGGGAGGCCAGCCCCTCACTGCGTCTGCCGACGCAGCGCCTGGGACCCAGCCCGCGGTGTGACCTGGGGGCTGTGACCCTGGGGGCTGTGACCCTGGGGACTGTGTGGCTCGGGGGGCTGAGTGACCCTGGGTGACACGGGCCACCCCGCACCAGGTGGGACTCTCGGATCAGGCCTCCCATCCATGGCCTCGGGGCTGTGCTGGAGAACCAGCTCAGCATCAAAGCACAGCGCTGGGACAGCGACCATTTCTACAGGAGCCGCTGGGCTCCATCCAGTCCTGAGAGGAAGGAGCGATCGGCCGGGCTGCAGGCCTGGGTGTGGGTTTGGCTTTTAACGGGAGAGCCCCAGCTCGCCCATTCCCACGGAGCCCGGCTCCTGATCGGTGAGAGGATTGATTGGTGCACCTGACTGCCTGCATCGGAACTGACTTCGCAGCCACAGCAGCCGCCTCCTCCTGCCCTGCCGGCCGCGCCAACAGGGGACTCGCAGGGCGGGCCTGTGCCCGGGCTCACCTGATCCCTTTGTTCTGGGCCACATTGTGCAGGGACAGTCTGGACACGGCGGAGATGACCTGGACGACAGAAAAGAGGCTCCGTCAGTCACAGGAAACAGAAGTCTCCGGAAAGCGGTCATGCAGCCCTCGCCAGCTCGGCTCCGCGGACAGAGGGTCAGCCTGCAGACTGGAGGGTCCCGGGGTCCATTCCAGTCAAGGGCATAGGCCCGGGTTGCAGACCCGATCCGCAGGAGGGGGCGTGCAGGAGGCAGCCAATCAATGACTCACTCATCACTGAGATTTCTTCCTCTCTTTCTCCCTTTCCCTCTGAAATCAATAAAAAACATATATATATATATATGTGTGTGTATATATATATATATGTATGTATATATATATATATACATACATACATACACACACACACACACACACACACACACATATGATAAAATTAAATAAAGCAGCAAGGCAAGGTCTGGTAGAAGCAGAGGGCTGTCCCCGTGCCCTCAGGGGGAGATGGGGCGGGGGGCGTGGGCACAGGTCCGGTATTGAGGCTGACGCCTGTTGCCCTTATTGCACAGAATCAGTCATCTGGGTGCACTGAGCTCGAGGGCTGCCGGCTGCCGGTGCGGCTCAGAGTGCGAGAGGGGGTCCCGGCGGTGCCCAAACCAGCAGCTGGGTCAAACGGAAGCTGTGACGGGCTCAGGGGCGACTCCTCCCGGGCGGCCCGCCCTGTGCTCCACCACCCGGCCCCGCAGTCCCGGCTGTTATTCCACAATCTCCAACACGACGGGCAGCCAGCGGGCTTCGGCTCCGTGCTGTGGGGAAACCGAGGCTTTTAACGGGAGAGCCCCAGCTCGCCCATTCCCACGGAGCCCGGCTCCTGATCGGTGAGAGGATTGATCTGTGCACCTGACTGCCTGCATCGGAACTGACTTCGCAGCCACAGCAGCCGCCTCCTCCCGCCCTGCCGGCCGGCCGCGGAGGAGGCTGCCCCGGAGCAGAGTACACTCACCAGCACAGCAAGCAGCTGCTCCCGGTTCGCACAGGATTACCGGCGCCGGGGAGGCGGACGGCGCCGCTGTGCGAGCACAAGATCATCTGTGTGCGCCCACGTGTGTGTGCGTGCTTCAGTGGGCATAAGAGCTAAAGTGTGTTCATGTATGTGAGTGTGTGTGCGTGTGTGTGTGTGTATGCGCGCGCACATGGTTATATCTGGGGAAAGGGAACATGAACATGACCCCTGGTGGCCAGCCGGCTGCTAAATTCAGACACCCCTGCTAGGTACGGAGTGTCCGGGAACGGCGCCCAACAGGCCTGTGGGAGCCTCGCCCTGGGACACCCTCAGCCCCCCAAGGCCTGCCCCGCCGGGCACACTGGGAGACAGCAAAAGTGAAGGCAGGTCCCCACAAAGGCCCCGCGGCTGGGACCTGTCCCTCCGCCGTCCTTTTAGGCTGCCCTCCTCCTGAGCAACTTCCTACAGGCTCGGGGGAACCCCACACCGCACAGACGCCCTTTTTCTCAGCCTGCGAGGGGCAGACCGGCCGGCAGCCGCCTGTGGCTCTGTCTCAGGGGCCGGGGCGTGCGGGAGCCATGAGCCTGGGGGTGACGGGCCCGTCTGCGCTCAGACCAGACTCCCGGAGCACAAGGCAGCCGCCCGCCGGTCCCACTGACTCGGCCGCTGAGCGCTGAGCGGTCTTTCACCAGCAACTCGGCCTGGGCTGTTTTCTTGGCACTTAAGACGGCCAATGTTTACCGAGAACAAGACCAGACAGCAGTGCTGGTGCCCTTCCGGCCGTCCCACAGGAGCCGGACGGCTAGAGTGGGAGAGCGGGCGGACGAGGGGCTTGGAGACCGTCGGGCCTGGGAACCGCCCCGTTCAACGGGCACCCTCTTCCCGATGAGCCAGAGGCAGCCGGCCCCTGCAGAGCAGCCGGACACAGCCCTGGGTCAGCATGGACACGAGATGGAGCCAGGGCCAGGGCGCGGCTTCCCACGGGGAGAGGGTGTTGCAGTGAGCTGGGGGGGGGGGGGACGGTCTGCGCCCCCCGTGCTCTGTCTGCGCCCCCCGTGCTCGTGGTCCCGGGCTCAGGGGCTCCCCCAGCGGCTGTGACCACGGCAGCCTCGGCCCCGGTTTCACGGCCACGGCTCCGGCTGGACTCGGCCCGGGCTCCGGGGGGCTGTGTGCCGCCTGGGGCCACAGGAACCCGCTCGGGGGCTGAGGACCAGAGGGTCTGGGGGCAAACGGGAGGCCCGGCGCCGCCGTGGGGGAGCTGGGCGTGGCGTGGCCCCTGGGGAAAGGGCCCGGAGCGGGGAGCACCCCCGCAGGGCGCCCGGCTTCCCCGCAGCCGTCGCATCGCTCGGGGAGGGGATCTAAAACCGCCCGCTCCGCCTGCCAGCGCCTCTGAAAACGTAAATGTCAGAGGATGACATTTTCCCGCTTTTATCTCACGTCTCGTCTTCCCGCCGATAATGAATGAAATGGAGACACCGCGGCCCCCTCCTTGTCCCTGCCCCCCCCCGCCCGCCCGTCCCCACGGGACCAGCACCACCTGCGCCCAGAGCTTCACTCCCGGGCAGCGAAGGGCCGAGTGTGCGAGGGGCGTGGGGACAGAGGAGAGGCCAGGGGCAAGAGAAAGGCCTGCGCCCAGACCGGCCCCACTGGCAGGAGTGGCCAGCCCGGTGCCCCCAAAACCCTGCCCGCTCTGTTCCCTGCAGGCCCGCCCCCGCCCCCACCACCCCCACTGCCTCACAGGGCCTTTGATGCTGGGGAGGGGACGAGGGGGGAGGTGACAGCCCCGAGGGGGGGCACTGGGGCCCCACGTGGCTGGGAGGTGCGGCCTGCTGGTCCCGGCTCTGTCCGTCTCGGGGTGGCCTGCGAAGCCGGGGTGCCGAGAGGAGCTGGGTGGGGGGCCCAGCGGAGGGGGCAAGAAGGACGTCTTCGGAAAGGACACGTGGCCTGCACCCCGGGACGCTGAGGGGTGGGGCCAGGGCAGAGCAGCGTCCAGTGCAGACCCCGAGCCCAGGGCCAGATGGGGCTCCCAGGACCCTGCACTGGGAGGGAGGGGTGCGGTCTGCTGGCCCCGCGGGCCCCCAAGACAGGGCAGCGCCCCATGCCGGCCGGAAACTCCAGGTCCTGGTCCTGCCGGGCAGGGAGGCGGCAGGGAGGCGGCAGGCGGGTGAGGACACGTCCCGAGGGGCAGGGGGAGCGGTGTGGTCGCAGCAAGCCCTGCAGGGCAGATGTGGGAAGCACCCATTCCCGGGCCGGGAGCAGCTCACCGGCCGCCTGTGCCCGCTGCCGGTTCCTCCGCCTCACAGCCTCTGCTCAGGCTCAGGGCAACGGGCCAGCAGGACCGGGACCCGGGTGCAGCGTCCCTGCTGGAGCCCCCTTCTCCCCCATGAGCCAGAGGTGCAGGTCGTGGAGCTCGGGGTCCAGTCCCTTAAGGTCCCCTAATCCTGGGTCAGGGCTCAGGGCCAGCTCGGGGTGCAGGGGCTGTGCGGGCCTGAACACCGGTGCCAACCTGTGTGGGTGCGTGAGAACATTCCGGAGGCCTGGTCGCTCAGCACGCTCAGAGGGTCCGGCACCGAGGAAGGCTCCCCCCACCCCGGTGGCCCGCTGGAGGGAGCTCCGCCAGGCGGTTCCCAGCCACAATGATGTGGGGGGTCGGGGGGGGGGGGGGGCGTGTGGGACCTGCAGGCCGGGCGGGGCGCTCTGCAGGCGGGGCCTTAGGAGGCCGTCACAGACCATGCCGCCTGTCCACTCGGGTGCAAGGAGCAATTTAGTTCCCGGCGGGTCCCCGCAGCGTTTACAAACAGCTGCCGGTCTGGCAGCGCCCGGCGGGGAAACACAGAGAAATACCGAGGACGCCCGCCCACACGGCGGATCCTGAGCTGGTGTCGCCGTAGGAGGGTTTATTGCTACAACACACCCACAAACGCCTTCCGGGAAAACAGGCTGTAAGACAGCAGGCGGGAGAGGCCGATCTTTACAACACGAGCTGGTGAGGAGCGCCGGCGGCCACAGGACAGGGCGGCGGGGCGGACGCCTGTCTTCCCCCGCGCCCGCCCCTCCCCGCGCCCGCCGGGAGCGCACTGCACGTCGGGGACGTGCTCGGAAAGGAACTGCCTGCGGGGCCCACGCCCCGGGCGGCGTCTCTCCGAGTCTCCGGCTTTAGAACACGTCACTCACACCAAAGGACCTCGAGGAGAAGTGGGGGCACAGGCCTGGGCAGCCCGCCGGGAGCTGGCGCGGTAGCTGTGCCACCTGGGAAGGCTGGCAGGAGCCAGGCGTGGTGAGGGCTTGGCAACCATCGCGCCAATTCCTGGCCGTGCGGACAAGAAAGCTGAGCGCAGGGGGTGCGTGAGGTCTGCACGGCTACCATGACCTCCAGGCCGAGCCCTCGAGGGGCCAGGCTGCAGGATCCCAGGCTGTGGCTCTGGACACATCGGCACTCACGGCGAGCGTCTGGCTGTCAGCCCCGATGCATCTCAGCCCCTCCAGCGCCCATGGCTCTCTGCTGCCGCTCGTTTCCTGGAGGAGGATCCGAGGCCCACGAGGCACATGCCCGGGCGAACCAGCTGCCTGCCATCGGCCAGTGGCCGCTCCACACCCTGCCTGCCCCGCACCCGTCTGCCCAGCAGGCCAGCCTCCACTCTGCCTGAGGCTGAGGAGGCGACAGGACCGCACACCTCACCCTCAGGCATCAGGAGCGGGGCTAAGTGGGGTCCCACCCAACCCGGGCTTTGGGGGCCTGGCGGGCAGCACCTTGAAAGCACCTCACCCCTGCCCTCCCCGCCCTCCTCCCCGCAGTTACCTCCAGCAGCTCCCGGGCTGGGGCTGGCGGCCTGCGGGCCCCTCCCCCACCGCCGGTGAGGAGGTGGGTGGATAAAGGGTTAAATACAAGCAGCAGCTCGTCCCCCCTCTGATCCGCAGGAGCCCTGTGCGTCACAGCCCCAGGAGGTACCGGAACCCCCAGAGCAGCCCGCAGGGCCCAGGCCTGGGATGCGAAATGGGCCTGGCAGACGGCACGGGGCGGCCAGAGCCCAGGCCCCCTGAAACCTCGCCCTCCCCTCTC